AGAAATAAATTGGCCGTTGCAGAAGTGAATCAAGAAATAAATAGAACAGTGAATAGTAACAGTAGTGTAAATAAATAGAATAATTACCGAAGTTTAGTAATAATTTAATACTGTTTTTAAAATTAATAGTAATTAGTGTAAATAAATAGTTTTCTTCTTAAAATTTAATTTGTTAAACCCACGAACATTTCAATATTGCTTATGTCAAAATGCGATTATCAGTTTTCTTATTTTAAAAGAAATCATACTATCGCTGGCATACAGCAACTGTACTTTTTAAAATGTAATAGAAAACGTCAAAATTTATATGCATAATTTTTATAACAATTACTTTAACTTAGCTTTATTTATTTTTATACAATTTAAAAAAATAACAGGCAAAAATGGCTATAAATAAAGAGATAGTGACCAAGTCTGTTTTGAAAGTGCCCTCGGTATTGTCTAATTCAAGGTTTACTTTTCTCGGACGTAATTTGGCTGACGGTTGCGGTTCAAAATCAGGTTCTGGGTCAGGTTCTGGCAATGGACTTCTGACGATGCCCGAAAGAGTTAAGAAAGTGGCTACCGCGGATAAACCTAGATTCTTTGAAATGGTCGAATACTTTTTCTATAGGGGGTGCGAATTAGTTCAGCCAAAACTGGTTGAGGAACTGGTTCAGTTTCGTGGAGGTGAACAAAAGAAAGATGCCATTGTTAAGCAAGTTTTTGGGGTTATGTCGACTGTATCTCAATGTGATTACATTTTTGAAACGATCTTTCCCATTCAACGAGACGATGGGAGTTACGAACTTATACAAGCATTTAGAGTTGAACATAGCAGTCATAGACTACCCGTGAAGGGTGGAATAAGGTACTCCGATCACGTAGACCAAGACGAGGTGAGCCACTTTTTACTTTGATATTGTTAATTTACCGTTATGCAATATAATGGAATAGAACTTAATTTTGGACAATGCAACAATACAAATGAATCACCTTTTGTAAATATAAAATCAAAATCAATTGTCATCATAAAAGACAACTTATTATTTCATATAACTTGGATAAAACCAGTTGGATTTTATATCTAAATTCAAATGGTAGTCAATTATAAAAGGGGTAAGGGTTTGAAAGGTAAACTTTAGGAAAAAAAGTTAGTTGCGAAACATGGACGGTGGGCACGGCGGTTAGAAGCGTTCGAAATGTGGTGTTACAGGCGAATGATGAAGATACGGTGGATAGAGGTTAGAAATGAAGAGGTATTGGATAAAAATAGGAGAACAGAAGGCTCTATGGAAGTCAGTAAGAAATAGGCGAGGTGTAATGTCCCGTCTTGTTTTAGACGGACTACGCGCCTAATTAAATTTGCGTAGTTAGTTAGCTGAAATGATAAGAACCAAACTCAGTTTATCGGTTTATTGGTTTAACAAAGTTGGTTATGTTTGGTTCTAATCGGTAATTTACTGGTATAAGAAATGAACTTGAATTAACTGGCTTAAAGGATGAATTAATATTTTACTGGGTTAAGTGATGAATCAATATTCTACTGGTATAACTAAAGAATCAATATTCTACTGGTATAACTAAAAATCAATATTGTCTCTATATGGAAAAAAAACTTTTGGGTGTTTCATTCCCACCAGCCAGTAATGCTAGTGGGCGGTCAGTCCTTCCGGACTATGCCGGAAGGCAGGGCGGAAGGCCCTCTTCAGCCTGCTTTCAGGAATCGTGGGAATGGGTGGGTGGTGGTTCGCTTGAGAAAGATGAGACGGACGAAATGAAGACAGAAGAGAGTAAAAGATTATCTGTGGAATGTTACTACTGCCTCAGCATTTGCCTAAGTGATCCAAGGAAACCACAGAAAAACGAACCGGCGTCCTCCCGAATGCTAAGCTATGGTCTAGACCTCTAGGCCATGCCGCTCGGTTCTCTATATGGTACATGGCTAAGTATTTAAAGCTAATCTATATACAAGGGGTAAGTGGCGTGGTTGCTACTATTGGTTGAGATTAGGAATTGGAAACTGGTAGGCGTTGTGAAATTCTAACTAAAGGTCGGTTCCGGAGCTATATACCAAAATTACAATCCTAAACTAATCAGATTCGTTACAGTGTGCCCCGAATATCGAGGGACAACTGTCATAAAGCTATACGTCATAAGTTAACAAAACTGCCTGTTTTGTACACTGTACTGTTCATTTCAAGAAGTTGGAGATATGACCCTTCCCTTTATTAGGATGGGCCGTAGCATAATTCCAAATTCAATCATATTTGTCTGCGGAGCTCATTTCTCCACCGATCATCGAGCGAGAGCTAGACAAAAGTGTACAGTACCATTTGCAAAATTATTAAAACTGCCTCGTTAAAATTTAAGAATATGCTTTATTTAAAAGCATATTTAGCCAAAAATAATAACAAGTGAATTAACTTAACGCTTTGTTTTAAGAAATTGCTAAACATTTTCGTCCAGTACTGTACAGTTCCCACCGAGAGCTCTGCTCGTTCAACCTTGTTCCAACTATTTCTGTCTTGCTCACGCCTTGTGTGTATTCTTTCTATCTTCGCGCAGATTTCTTCAAGGTCACAATTCAAACAAATTGAAATGGACTGTACATGTAATTGATGAACCGGAACACGAGGTAAGTTAATAAGACATCTTCTCAGGCATGAAGGTCCAGTAAGAGACAAATTATATTAGAGGCTGAAACGGATGTAAGGAGGAGTAGAAGAAGACCTAGATTAGATTACTGTTTGCAAATAGTTAAGGATATGGGTTGTTCTACTTTTAGGGAAATGCGTATATTAGCTCAGGATAGGAAAGGGTGGAGGTGCGTGTCCAAGCAGTCTTAGGACTGACGACCTTATGATGATGATTCCTATGTACCAAAGAAAAATGTTACTGTTTAAAGGATAGGATTTCTCAAAGCTTCGGTGTACTGAAGGAACGCCTGCAGCAAACCGTAAGGAAAAGAAATAGATCGAAGCTTAAGCCCATTTAAATTTTTCATTAGTGATTTATAATAATTTGCATGATTACAAAATTCAACTGCTTTCATCCAATTTCGTTAAAACCCAAAATCCTCTGTATGTTTGGAGCGGTTTTCTGAACATTGGTGTTATTAGTAACAACTCTCCAGTACATTTGATTTTTCTTCAACGATTACATTTTTTCAACAACTGCATTTCTGGATGATTAAACAAAATAAAAATTCTAGGTAAAAGCCCTTGCTGCTCTGATGACATTTAAATGTGCTTGCGTCGACGTACCGTTTGGTGGCGCTAAAGGCGGAGTTAAAATAAATCCCAAAAAATTCTCATTACGCGAATTGGAAAGAATAACGAGAAGATACGGGCTCGAATTGGCTAAGAAGTCATTTATCGGCCCAGGTTTGGATGTTCCTGCTCCTGATGTAAATACAAGTGAACGTGAAATGGCTTGGTTAGTGGATACATACGCAAGAAGCTCAGGTTCTCTCTATTTCTTTTACTGATGGTTGAAACATTTTTTGACTTTCATTAAGCTCATTATTTAAAACAAAGTTGGGAATCAATCAAGTAGTCGGGGAGATGTAGTAAGAAAGTCTAAGCTACGAAACCTTAGGTTAGGTTAGGTGATTTAATGAATTAGAATTCGAGTTATTAAACGAGAGTTTCCTCATTAACTTGAGGTAATCTGCAGTGGAAAATAGAAATTAAATTAATTTTTACACTAATGTTTAGAATTATGTATTAACCGGTACTATATCAACAATGCAACAACATTTAGGATTCAAAGACATCAACAAGTTGGGAGTGGTCACGGGAAAACCCATAAGTCAGGGAGGAATACATGGGCGAGCGTCAGCTACTGGTAAAGGTCTGTTCCATGCGGTCGATATATTCGTGAACGAAAAGAAATACATGGATATGGTTGGCCTCCAAACAGGATTAAAGGGGAAGACATTCATTGTTCAAGGATTTGGAAACGTTGGTTTTCATGCTGCACGCTATTTAGCAAGAGCTGGGGCAAAATGTATAGGCGTTATTGAATGGGACTGTTCCCTAACTAACCCGGAGGGAATTGACCCTACAGATCTTGATAAACACCGATTGAAAACAGGATCTATAAAAGGTATCAATCCAGCTTTTAACCAAACTATTAAAATACATTCAGAAACAGACAGTCTATCGCCATCTAGTGGGTATTTGCGGCTACTAAACTTTAACGTTCTCGCCACACCACTATTGTGTAGGGTTGTTCGGAAAGTCATTTTGTTTTCTTTTTTTTTGTGGAAATGAAAGACAGTTTTCGTATAATAAACAAATACTTTATTAAATTATATATTGACCGTTCTGGTCCAACACCTTTTGCCGTCTTTCTGGTAGTAGCATAATTCCACGCTCATAAAATTTTTGGTCTTTGCTGGCAAAAAACTGATCGAGGAGGTTTTTGACCTCCTCATTTGAGGTGAAGGTTTTACCGTCTAAAAAATTTTGGAGTGACCGGAACAAATAATAATCCGATGGTGCCAGATTTGGAGAATATGGTGGTTGTAGCATTGTATCCCATTCAAGCTGTAAAAGCTTTTGGCGAGTGACCAAACTTGTGTGAGGTCTCGCGTTGTCTTGGTGAAACACTACACCTTCCCTGTTGATTAGTACTGACCTTTTCTGTTAAAGTGCATCATTCAGTTTGCCCAGCTGATGACAGTAGACTTCCGAATTAATCGTTGTGTTATCCGGTAAAAGCTCAAAAAAAACGATTCCTTTAAAATCCCACCAAACAGACAGCATCACCTTTTTTGGTGAATATCGGCGTTGGAAATGGTTTGAGCCGGCTCATACAACCCATTTTTCGTCCCCAGTGATGATGCGCTTCAAAAACGGATCATTTTAGTGACGTTTGAGAAGCGAATCGCAGACGTCAATGCGGCGACACAGATTTCTCTCTGTGAGAACATGGGGAACCCATACATCGAGCTTCGAGGATAATCCCAGGCCTTTCAAGTGGTCATAAACTGTTGAATTTGATAAATTTAACCTCAATCCGATCTCACGTGTTGTTATTCGCCGGTTCACATCAATTAACGCCTTTATCGCGTCTTTATCAGCTTCAACCGGCCTTCCCGAACGTGGTGCATCTTCGACATCAAAATTGCCGGATCGAAATTTAGCGAACCAGCCTTGCTATATGAGCTCTCAAAGCATATAAAAATTATACGGCTTAAATGTGAAGTTGGGTGCAAAAGAATACAATTAAATCCTCTGTCGGGAAAAAACGAAATGACTTTCCGAACAACCCGACAGAATGCCTCACTGGGAATATACGTTTATGATTTTGCACATTTTCTCTTGGTGGAGTTTAATTTTATTTTGCTACTTTACCATCTTCAACGTCCACCTTTCTAACCATTTTCGAACATTAAAGAGATGTAAAACGCTAACAATTAGCATATGAGCTATGCGAAAGTTCTCTCTAAGAGTTTAACTCTGCTCGCTCCGCGGACTTCCCCCACAACATGAACATATATCTATACTTACATATATAAGACTCGCCAAAAGAGCGCGGTTTTTGTAATGACTTGCTTATTTACATTGTTGGCGAAGGACCTATTGTTTGTGTTGAATTGTTTTTTTATGCACCAATTTAAACTCCCATCCCTACTCTACCCCTTTTCCTACTATCAAAATTCTGAATTTCTTCAGCCGCCGATGCTTATTTATACGTGTTAAGGTAAAAGAACATTACTTAAATCAAAACACGTTTGCCATATGAAGAGAAATAGTTAAATCAAAGTCCTTGACTAGCATTTGTCGAACTTGGAGTGTAGCCTGGGGGCTAAATCATAACTTAGCATCGGTATCCGGCATACAGTTTGATACCCGCGGCTGTATTGATTGATTAGTTTCATTTTTGGGAGTAACTTGTACATACAACTGATCGCAATGTCCATTGTCGTTAAGGTTCCGATTGTTTGTCCCATTTATTGAGATTGGAAAGTTATGGTAGGAAGAGGAGTGTTTAACGATCTGATCTTTAGTGTTGCGGTGGTCATGTTAATTCTATGGTTTGTCCTCGACGAAATGCTAGATATTCTCATTCAGAATCCTCAATATGACACTAGCTATGTGAAAGCTCATGCAATAAGTGCGTCTAGGTGGCTTCTGCATTTTTAGTGTCTCAGTTTTTTGAAGTTGACCACCATTGTTCAATACAACGGGGATCAAAATTCATTAAATTCTCTAAAAGAGATAATTGTCTTGTAACTTTGGATTTGCAGGTTACTCAAAAGCCAAGGAGTTTAGCGGTCATCACGAACTTATGTTCGAAAAATGTGACATCCTATGCCCCTGTGCCCATGAGCTGGTGATAACCAAATCAAATGCTAACAAAATAAAAGCCAAGGTGATAGCGGAAGGCGCTAATGGTCCAACGACTCCTGCAGCTGACGAAATATTAACAAAAATGAAAGTCTTAAATTTACCTGATCTTTACTGTAACGCTGGTGGAGTAACCGTCTCATATTTCGAGTGGCTAAAGAATATCAACAATGTCTCATTCGGTCGACTAACATTCAAGTATGAGAAGGATTCCAATTATCATTTATTGAATTCTGTCCAGAAATCTTTGGAAAAGGAATTCAACAAAAAAATTTCGATTGTTCCAACAGATGAATTTGAGAAAAGGATTTCAGGTAGGGAAAAACAAAACATATTTTCAAACTGCTCCTTATAATAGTCTAACATACATGCTGCAGCAAAACTCACACAGATAAAATCATAAGATCTTTGGTTATCATCTTAAGGTCGTCAGCCCCAAAGACTGATTGGACACGCACCTCCACTCTTTCCTATCCTGCGCTAATCTTAGCATTTCCCTAAAGCTAGAACAACCCATATCCTTAATTATTTGCCAACAGTTATCTAATCTAAGTCTACCTCTACTCCTCCTAACTCCTGTTTCTGCCTCTAATATGTCTCTGACTAGACCTTCCTGCCTGAGAAGGTGTCCTACCAACATATCTCGCCTATTTTTTTATTGACTTCCATAGAGCTCTCTATTCTTCTATTCTTTCCAATACCTCTTCATTTCTAATCTTCTCTATCCACAGTATCCTCATCATTCGCCCGTAACACCACTTTTCGAACGCTTCTAACCTTTTCTATCATCTATATAAATTTATGCTGTCCTGGCTCGAGTTTAAAGGCTGTCCGTCGGTTGGAATTGCTTCCTAACGTTTCGCTAGCACGAGTAACGAGCTTCTTCAGAGGTGCTAGTGCTAGCGAAACATTAAAAAGCAACTCCAATTATATCAAGTCAAGAGTTTATGTGGTATTCGGTATTCCATAAGGAACAGTTTCGAAAATATTGAGGAAAAATCGTGTTCATGGTGATCCATTTAAAGAAACGTAGCTTTTTTAGATATCATTTTTCGAAAAATGCAGACTTTTTTCTTCTTAAAAATAGAATTGGAATCACCCCTTGAATTTTAACTAATATTTGTGTCAAAACGTTTAATGATCCCAAGAGATTTTGACTTTTTATAGAAAAGCTTTAAAAGATCGCCTTTATAAGCTTTTGTACGTAATAACCACTTTAATTGCTGCTAAATTAAGTTAGGTTAGGTCAATTTCGTTTTAGTCTTCTAACTTCCTATGAATTAAATATGTTTTTGTATTATAAAAGGTGCTTCCGAGAAAGACATTGTACATTCTGGTCTCGCATCTACTATGGAAAAATCTGCAAAAGCAATAATGAGGACTTTAGATAAATATAACCTGGGACTTGATTTGCGAACAGCAGCGTACATTGTTTCCATCGAAAAGATATTCCAACATTACCACGAGGCAGGATTGACATACTAAATGTGCTGAATTATATTTTTAGAAATAAACTGTTTTACTGGTCATTTTTTATTTCCATCTAGTTTCTGGGTATTTTCTCAAAATATCTGGAAATAATAGCCAAATATATGTACTGTTCGTTTCAAGAAGTTGGACATATGCCCCTTTCCCTTAATTAGGATGCGCCGTAGCATAATTCCAAATTCAATCATATTTGTCTGCAGAGCTCATTTCTCTACCGATCATCGATCGAGAACTAGACAAAAGTGTACAGTACCATTTGCAAAATTATTTAAACTGCCTCTTTAAAATTTAAGAATACGCTTTATTTAAAAGCATACTTAGCAAAAAATAATAACAAGTGAATTAATTTAACGTTCTACACACGTATAAAACTTTTGCTTTGTTGTCTATTGTAAATTTATATACATTTTTGTTTTAAGAAATTGCTAAACATTTTCGTCTAGTACTGTATAGTTCTAGCCGATCTCCTGAGACCGCCCATCAATAGCTCTGTTCGTTCAAGCTTGTTCCAACTATTTCTGTCTTGCTCACGCCTAGCGTGTATTCTTTCTATCTTCGCGCAGATTTCTTCAAGGTCACAATTCTAACAAATTGAAATAGAATGTGCCTACTTTGATAAAAACAATAAATAAATTATCTTTACATAAAGGGTGTGATTTAAGGTATTCGAATTGCTTCACAACATGCCACACATAGGCGTTTATGTTGCGAGAGGTTTTAGTTTAAGCTATTACTTGTAGACTTTTTTCTCGTATCATGTGAAACTTGAAGTTGCAACATATAAATTGCAAAAATATCAGAAGGTTATTATGTGCTGGTAAAACAAGGAACCACCTTGAAAGCACCAGCATCAGTTGTGGATACATATGGAGAAAAACGGATGTATAAACAACAAAAAAATTTATTGGCGCAAAAAAGGAAGACCCTTTTCTTTTTTAGTTATTCATAAACATTTTAAGAAATTTTCAATGTACAAACAATCTAACAAGAAGACTTCATTTGACACAAAAATTAAATCCATATCTATATACATATATAAAAGAAAGTCGTCTTAGTTACACTATTTATAATTCAAGAACGGCTGAACCGATTTGGCTGAAAATTGGTGGGGAGGTAGCTTAGAATCGGGAGACGGACATATGATACTTTTTATCCCGTTCTCGTGAAAAAAAAAACCTTGGTAAAACAAAACATCAGTCTAGCCGTCCATTATTAAAAATGGTATAACAAAACGCAACTGANAAAAGTTGGAGGATCGCTATAATCAGTGTATCACCCTTGAAGGGAATTATGTTGAATAAAAAAAACAAATTTTGCAAAAAAAATGTGTTTTACTATTTTAGGCCGGGGACTTTTCAATTGACCTGTTATATACAGTAGTAGTCGGTTTAAGAAACGTCAGAAACTAATAGCAAACGGCAGTCCCAAATTAGATTCTAGAATTATTCTAAAGTGCTGTTAGATATAATCTTTCAAAAACAAAAAAACACAAGAAAGGTTTAGACATAATTACTTAAACAAACAAGAAGATATAGTGAATTTTTAATAGAAACTCAACTTCAAAAAGCTTTATCGGTATTATAAATACCCACAAGGGTTGCTTTTAAGTTTTTTCTTAAAAACTTTTTGCCTATTTATCAAAATTATTTTATTATCTCCTTTAAAGTAAGTACCTAGCTAGCCCTTCAGGCCATTGTGCTAGCGTTTTTTTTGAACATTTCTTTGAAACGTTTCTCGAACGTAGCTTTCGATATACCCACTGTTTAGCTCCATCAGCGATTGTATCATTATTCCTTTCATGTTGGTAAAACGGTGGCCATGATCCTTTTCTGTTTGGGGAACAGGAGACCAGTAACTGGAGTCTAAGCCATCATAAAGGTAGGGATTCTACTGCGTTTGCTATTTTAGTTTCTATAATTTAATGGCAAGGAGATGCTTTCGCATTAGCGTTTTGAAGAAACATACGATCATTAAAAACGAACATAAAAAAAAGTACAAAACTATCAAACCATTACGAAATACACTAAAACACTTCAGAGGTATGTAGTAGTAAGTAGGTACCTCTTTATTTGCGCGCATTGGAACTTTATCCGTAATGCGCGGTTTAATAATAGTTGCAGCACTTTAGACTTCAAAGTAAATCACAATTTCTTACATATATTTATACCTACTTCACATTTGGCGCTTTTACTTTCGTTTGTAAGATAATCAGCATAATTTTGAACGTACGATTTACGATATTTTGAGCTATTCTTGGACCACGATAATGTTCAAATGAAGAACAATTTTATTGGAAACGTTCTCGGTGAGTAATACGGATACAGTATTGTATCAAATTTCAAGATACAACTTCGATGTCCAAACTGTAATAAATTTTTGTATTTCTGAGTTACTAATTATCATAATAATCAAAGGACATAACGAGAAAACTAGGCCACGAAAACAGTGGGTGAGGTTACCAGGGCGAAAACACTCTGGTACGTATAACTAGGAGCTCTGATTCGATTCCACAGACGACAACAGTTTTTCCGCATTAATTTGAGATTATCAATATGGGATCCGTCAAATGGGCATACACCATCTGGTGGCAAAATTTATAACTCAAATGAGGGAAAAGTTTATATAGGAACTGTGCACACAAATTGTAAAATTGTTTATTAAAATAATAAAACACCTTAAAAAAGTAAAAATTTTTTTGATGATGGAGTCGACGAAGTTTTCTTCTAAAGTTAAATCAAATAAAAAGTTAATATCTTCAGTGAAAGGCTGCAATAGCACTTCACTGAAACTTGACTTTAATGCTTTTTCATATAAAATTAGTGACATACATACCTATTTCAACATTTTTCAAAATTCTACTTCTTTAGGAAGATAAAAGGGGTTTGCAAAGATTACATGTTTGTTTTTGGTCCGATTTACTTGAAACTGGTTAAAAAATTCAATCTCCGCTGGGGAGGATGAGTGATGAACAGGAGTTGCAATGTTTAAATGGAACATATATTACTTGTGGTCAGATTTACTTGAAACTTGGTCTTAATGGGAGGTGTAAAAAGCTTTTGCAATTTTTGTTTGGTACATACTTTAGTTGTGGTTGAATTTACTTGAAACTTCGTATATAAGCTATTTGATATTATAATTCAAATGAAAAGTGGTTTCAACGTTTCCATAGGGTATATTTTATTTGTACTCAGATTTACTCGAAGGTTGCATTGTTGAAATTAAGTAATACGTGTTTTGGCAATTTTTTAAAAATCAACCCTTAAGGATGAAATGTTGTTGCCACAAGTCTAAGATGGCGATATTACATAAAATTAAACCGTTGTAAGGGTGAATTGGGAGTTAAAAGGTTTTATGGAGAAACAATATTTATTTCTGCGAGCGAAGTCGCCGGGAAAAGCTAGTTATATTATAAATTTAAAAAAAAAGATCCACTTCTCCTTAAGCTACCTCTAAATTTCCCAAATCTGACAACGTTGGTTAGAAACCGAATGTTTGTTAGTCTGCTATCTGGTGAATATGTATAGTTGGGACGATCAAAATTGGCAAAGTTCGTACTAAATTATATGTGAAAATGGGCGTATCTTTTTTCTTTGGTCGGCTTTATCACTGCCTAGTTAGAATTACTTCTGTAAACAAGCATCCTTGCTTTCCTAAATTTCTGAGAACGTTGAACTTTCTTTAAAGCCCGATACTGACAGCGTGCTCAAATTTTACTGGTCTGCATCTTTTTCTGTTGCACATCGATTAATGTAATGTTATTCCTTTGTCTTTGTTAGTGTCCGCTGCAATTCCTGCCTGACATCTCTTATCTATGTTTTTGCGATATACCCTACAACGTCTGTCGTGAGTAAAAGTAGGCGTTCTGTCAACAACCGCTCCGGTCTAGTTAGTAAGTTGAAAGAAGAAAGTAAATGCGACAGTTTTATAACAGACTATGCCAATTTTAAACGTGCCAACTATACTAGGGTCAATTGAAAAGTCCCCGGCCTGACACATAGATGGCGGCACCAGAACTAAATCCATATGATTTTCAGTTAGTCCTAACCTTCAAAAGACGCGTCTATAAATTTGACGGCTGTCGGATCATTAGTTTGTGAATTATAGCATTTTTAGTGAAGCAACTTTTGTTATTGTGAAAAAAATGGATAAAAA